GATAACACAAAACGTAGTAGTAGATAAAAAAATCAGATTTAAGCAAATCTTCAAGATTCAGAACTTGTTATCTGGAAAATTCGATGTCTGTTTTAACATTATATAAGCCAAAAGTATCAACTAGGCAATTATAAAAAAATTTAAATTAAATAATTTTTAGGGATTTTAAGAATGTTCAATCGTTTTTATCTTTTTATCCATATTCGCTTTAGTCAAGTCAGATAAAATGATTTTGTATGAAACTGGATTGAAGCTTGGCCTGAAGACAATCATTTGGCGAGACTGAATCAATCTGTATGTTTACTTTGGGGCACAGTTTTCCAATAAGCCAGCCAAAGAGCAGTGTTGCCCTCTTTAGCTTTATTATAGCCAGATTTGGCGGAAACTAGGAAACATAATAGACAACAATCTGACTATTTTCTAGTTCTGAAATATTAAAAATTCGTTTCACTGGATATTGTTTCACAAATATAATTAGTTTAAAGATCAGAAATTAAAGTTGCAATTCATTAAAATAGTTTAACGCAAATCGTTTGTGCAAAGCTCTTTAAAATTCTGGCAACACTGAATGTCAGTTTTACAACTGTAGCCAAAAACTTGAAACACGCACACAGTCAACTCGCAATATTGGCGAAGGATGCGGATGCAAGTAGAAAGCGTAGCTAGCAAAAAAAAAAAAAAAAAAGTGGGCTGCGGCTGCTGGTGGAACCGGTTGGCTGTGCCATTCTTGTTCTCTTCCCCAGTTTCAGTCTTTGGAATTTGCGGCTAATTAAGGAGTGTGATTGTGTGTGTGTGTGTGTATGTGCAAGTAGTTTAATAAAAAGAAGTTGTTATAAAAGTAGTAGAAACAAAGGCGAATATCAATTAGTCACCCGTGTTGGTGGTGGGCCGTTTGGGTGCTTGATTTTACTTAGAATGAGTGAGTTGTCACAAGTGGCGCGCGCTGCCAGTATTCTGATTAGAAATTCAACGCGCTGCACGCTCTGTCCGGACCACTTTGGTATTGTAAACGGCATTTTAATACAACCATAAATAATTCATAAGACAAAGCGACGAATGGCGAAAATCGACGCCCGCTGCTTCTGCTTACATACTTCCGGTACTTACTCTTTGTCGTGTGTCGCGTCAGCTGCGCGGGTGGCCACTGAATTGTGAGTAGAGAAGAAGAGCTATTTCTTGCAATTGTTTGGCACAATGAGTAGAAGAGCTTTTAATTAAACAGTTAATAACGGGTGAAGCACTTTCGTGAACACACACACACACAGAATGCACTGCCAGAGGAATTGCCCGATTCGTAATGTTCAGAAAAAGCCGACGCACAAGAACCGAACACTAAACCGTTCAGCTTAAATAACAAACAACGACTGCTGCTGCCAGACTCGCGATCAGCGACGAAACAGAAGCAACAGAAAGCAAAAAGAAACTTCTTCTTCAGGCGCTTGCAGTGTAAGCAGAGCTACTGACGGCAGAGCCAGAAACAGAAGTAGACAAAGAGAGAAAGGCCGGAAACGTCGGGAGAGGCGTAAACAGCTGAAATGCGGGCTCCAGAGGCAACAATATTGCATTAAGTGACCATCAGCAGCTATCGATAAAAGCGATAGTGATATTTTTTGTTGTTTCTTTTTGTTGTTGTTCTTCTGCTGCTGTTGCTGCTGTATGCGTGCAACGCGTAAGGAGTCAATAACAAAACTAATGAGCCTTGACGGCGGCATCGACACACACACACACACACACACACACATGCAGGCATCCACACACACATGCACACTTTATTGCTTTATTTTGCCATTCATACTTCACACAATGACCCCACATGGCAGCAAGCGGGCGCTGTTGCAGTACGAGCTTTAAATAAACAATAGCACTGCAATAAAAGAGAGGGAGAGTCGTAAACCGTAAGAATTCAGTGCTTTTCTTTCCCTCTGTGATATACTTGGTAACTTTTGTGTTGAATAGTATCTGTTAATTTGCTGAAATTTAAGCTGATTATCGAAACGTTTATCATTTAATTGAAACGAATTCGAATTCGGCGACTGTTATTGATAACTGCATTAGACTGCACGCTTATAAAACAATAAATATTTTTAGGTTCCCAATGCCAAAGTGTTGACATGCCTTGTCAGTGCCCCCACCAACACACACACACACATTTACCCACGCACTTATAATCAACATGTGCGTAAAAGATGTTCTTGAGCAGCGCGCAGTCACTCTATTTTCTCCTGAACAGCCGCCATTGCCATTTTCTCTTTTATTTATACACATACATATGTATGTGTGTATTTATGTATATGTGGGTGTATGTTGCGGTTTGTTACTTTCAATATTCTTGTATTTTTTCATCAACCCAGCAAATTTTTACCGTTTCCTCTCAACCCCAACCGGTACAAAACCCAACCATACCACTTGAAAAACTATTGCCAAGTAGTTTTTCCTACATGCATAAAGTATGTACCTATTTACAGTTATGTATACATGTGCCCAAGTGTTTTGTTTATTTATAGTGATCGGTGGCGCGCAATTTAAATTGTTATAAATGCCAATTCAACAAAAACAAAAAACAAACAACAGCAGCAGCCTTTTATATGAAAAATAAATATGTATGCCATATTCAAAAATATTCGTAGGCAAAGCAAAAAATCAATCCGCCGCAATAACAACAAACAAAGCAATAAGATGAGCAGCACACGAAACAAGAGACGGCGGCGCAGCCGACAGCCAGGTCGGGCCGGCCGGCTGGTCGCAGATAAGCGGCCACGGCTTTGAAGCAATGCTGCCGGATCGGCACAAATTGCGTTGTTTGAGAAAGGCAGGCACTTTTCTTGTTATTGTACGAAAGCCCTGTACTTGAGTGAAAATGTGGTCGCCGTTACGATAGATAGTGCAAACTAACTGATTGAAATATCATAAGTCACTTTTCTAGACACATTGAATCTTAATTTCATCATTTTTTATGTATGTATTTATAGTTCGTAGAGCAAATTCCAAATATGTTGTAAGTATATTTTCTTAAGTGCCTATTAAATAAAAAGCAAAACACCAGCTGTCAGACAGGGATTTTAACGACTTCTGACTTGACTAACAAAGATTATACTTCTTTCTGGCTATAATATTAAGTTTTGGATCAAGATACTCGAGATTGCCCAATGGTATACAATTCACCTCGCCCAACCGCAAGTTGCACTTGGCAGAGAGTACGTAACGGTATTGCAAATATAAGCCACAAAATTGTTTGGTTTTATGGCAACCACAGTCGGCAACAGCGTTCAGATCCCTGAATAACAAAAACAATATAAAGCGAGTGACAATCACTACACCCCCAACCCCTCCCCATTCCCCGCCCCCTACAACACTTCAACCAAACGTATGTAATTTGAAGCGACTTCAATCCAGCCCCGAGCTAAGCAATATTACGACTTAGAATGCCAGACCAACACAAAGGACGGATATACATACTGTGAAAACTTTTATAACGAATACTATTTAACTGTTAAATTAAATAAACATAAAACCCATGCTCAAATTATAAATATTAAATATTTTATTATCAATCTAGTAAAATTATATTGGTAATATCGGCAAATGCAGTCTGGCACAAGTTTTCAATGTGATGAGTGCATATACATGCACACACACACACACGCAGACACACGCGCAAAAACACACAGACACAACATAAGCAGCAACGCCAGTTAGGGCGGTGGCTGGCTGCTGCCTGGCAGCAGGCTAACTACTCTCATGTATTTTGTTGCTTCACTGACTGCAAACTTGCGTCGCAATATTTTTATAACAGAGGTAGGTGTTTTTCGTATCTCTCTCTCCATCTCTCTCTCGCTCTCTCTGCTTCCCACTATTTCATTTAGAATTGAAACGATCCTCGGCTTAAGCGACTACTGATAAAATTGGACGAAAGTAAAAGCCATTTAAAATAACAAACTGAGATCATTAGGCAAGGATATTTTTAACGTGCAAGTCCAAGTGCAAAAGTGCTGGCAAGTGTAATCAGGCGTAGAATGCTTAAACAAAGACAAGACAACGACAATGAAAAATAAGTCAAGTCAGGCAACTTGAACGAACAAGGCAACAGCCGCAGACAACACACACACGCATTCGTACTCTTACTCACACAATAAACATGCATGTGCATGCATATACACGCATTTACAAAAGAAAGAAGCGACAAGAAGCAAGGAGTGTACGAGTGACAGCACAAAGCGTAAAAAAGGATAAATGAAGCACGCAAGGGAAAGAATGTTGATAAGCAACGAAGAGCAGCGGGCAGGGAATAGAGAGCGAGAGAGATAGACATACAAAAAGAAAGAGAGGGAGAGTCAGAGAGAGAGAGAGAGCCAAACGGATACAAAGCCACCGGCAGCGACGCCGACAGCGGCGACATAGTGGCAACGCCGACGCAACTGCAGGCGGCACACCCAAAATTGAGAAAAAGGCTGCAAACAACGCCAAAAACTATTAACAGCGAGGAGTAGATTTAGGGGGTGCGATGAAGCTTTATTGCAATAAATAGCCGGCCAAATATATATGCATTTTTACCGCATTATTCGTGAAATTTGCACATTTATTTAGCGAATTTCCTGTCAACGCGCCCAGCCCACGTACACGCATACACAGGCAAGAGCGTGGCGTCCTTTTTGAATTATGTATGCGTAGGCTGTATGCGGCACTTATACCAATAATATATGAAGCATTTTTAAAAGATACAAGGATCTTAGCACTCGGTATATATGAATTATAATAACGCATACATTTGTCAACAATTAAAAGTCATAATTCACAAAGTCTCGTCCTACACTCGCATTCACACACTATTAAAACTCCAAACGTACATATACAAAGCGTTATACAGAATTTCAACTACAAGCACTTACACACACAAAGGCACTCAGACAGCTTGGCTTGGTTTTTCAAATTTCGTGATTGCCATTTTTTTTGCGCTTTTCGAACTCTTTATGAATGAAATGAATATTGTAATTTGCATTTACCTGGCTCGTTACTTATATTACGCACACGCACTTTATTCTTATATTCTGATTTTTCAAATATAAACCGTACTTCTTTCTTTCTTAACTACTTTCTGTCTCTCGTATATCTGTCAAACAAACCGAATGCGTTGAAGCAGAGTATGTGTGTGAACGATTGGGCACATTTTTTTTCATTTTCATTCCCTTAAAGTAGCTAAGTGCTGATACTTATCGATAGTTTGACAGTTTCTAGTAAAAGATGGGATAGGACCGTTTGACCGCTGTAGAATTCAAATTAGAGACATAATCGCAGATATTGCAAACCTTTGAAATAGAGAAAAAGTTTATAATAATACATGAAACGATTGTATATTATTACGTTGCAAGGAAAACAAATAAACGGCATTTTATGAAATAAACCTGCTGACTTCCTTTCCTAATATTCGCATTTATAAGAAATATCGATGTATGAATATTGTCAATAGCTTAAGGATATTGTTCAATATATCGATGGAGTCGCTTCCTTCACTTGCGGCGGCGTCCTGTGATTTATACAACGGCATCCTGACACGTCTATTTCGGTATTTTCGGTATATTTTCGGTATTTTTATGGAATTTTCAGATATTTTCGCTTTGTCTGTAAAAGGTCGCACATAATAAAACAAGCTGTCACAGCTTCGGCGGGAAATAGCATCGTAGCAAGCACTGGGATAAAAGTAATTTAAATGTGTCTAAAACACAACATATAAGACTTATATTTGATACTTGAAGATGCCGCCAACACCAAAATCAACATCGCCTACGTCACGCAAACGCTACTGCGGCCTAGGCAACCATCACCTCCGTACACCTCACAAGTCGATCAGTGACGAGAAAATTCTTAGCTTCGCCAAGCATATTAACCCAGAATTGCGGAGCACAACTCTCCTCTGTGGAAGTTGCTATGATACGCTGGTGAAAATCTACCGTGTTAAGCTGCGACATGCCATACAACTACAGAGGGGCAAAAAACGTGCAGCAGGCAACACAAACTCCATTTCCGATGTGAGTTCTAGTCAGCAGGTGCATTCACAGAGCTCGAGTGCGGTATCTGCGTATTCCACAACTTCCGAGAATTCAAGCAAATCGACAATAAGCGACAACCAGCCCACCTCAAGCACCACTTCCAAGCGAAAGCGTGTGGTGCAGCGGCCGCCGGACAATGACGACGACGTCATCGACGATGACGAGGAGCCACTATTAAGTCTGAATGCTGTGAATGGGACGCGGCTACCAAACATTCAACCCATACCCAAGCGTCGCCAATTCGTGCACTTAAACAAGGACGTAATGGATATATATCTGAGTGGAACCACGGGGGGCTGAATTGGTTATATATATATAAGTTATTTCGATATGTATTGTTGTGTTGCTTAAGTTCTTAGACTAATTCCACGTTCACGAGGTGAAGATATAGATGATCGCATTAGCCTTATTATGCATTTCCATGTTAATTATGTTTCGTAAATTGTGAAATTGTATTGTTTGGATTACCACAATAAAAACGACTAGAATAATCAAATTGCGAAGTGCATCTTAGCCGTGCTTTACTTGAGAGTGTCCGACTTTAATGCTGTGCACAGCTCTGGAATGAAATAAATGAAATATGGGCAAAGAACTGTTAATCCGAAAAACCCCAAATTAATCTTGAATGTCTGTAATTTTAAAAAACTAACAGCTAAAATTTTATAAAGTGCGTAAACAATAAAATAAAAACGTTGTTTATTCAGATATACGCCACTCAATGATAATATCAATATGAAAAATATAAAAAATATATATATTGTATATCAAAAACCTAAATCTTTTTCGCATTTAAATTTATGAATTTCGATAGATTTTTTGAGGCAGCTGAATCTGTTATGCAGCTGTTATAGCTCAAAATCGCTGCCAGTTAGGCGCTGTTAAGTTTTAAATATGCACCTCAATTGCATTTTTGCCTTATTTTGCTAATGCTTGACTTCGATTAGAAGAACTTTTGCGAATAGCTAATTATTGTCACAACAAATAGAAGTTTGCAATCGAGATAACAGAATAAAATTCGTGCTCACTGTTAATAACATGTTATTCGAATGTAAAGTTAACAGACGGGCATAGAAACAGCATCAGCAATAAAAAACAAAAATAAAAAAAAAAACACAAAAGTATTGCCAAAAGAGGAATTTAGTTAATAATAGGCTAAGATCCAGTTAATTGTTATGGAGTAAACGCGACAACACGTGAAGGCCTTGTCGTAAATGGAGGGCGGCCACATTTGCCAGTGGCTGTGACGACTTTTATTCCCATACGCCGTTTCCATGCTATAGATAACAGTTTTGCCTCCATAGGCAAGCAAAAAAGTATGTGGCAAGTGATTACCTGAGATTCTGTTAAATGAATACAATTTGTTGTTGCAGCACACCATGGGCTGCATCACTAGCACTAATAAACTAAGTGAACTGCGGCAGGAGAACGTATTTCGGGTGCGCGTGGCCCATTTGCAGCCAAGCGGACCGGAGGCGCCCATCGTACGCAGCGGCTACTTGGAATTGACGCCACGCGAGTTGATTTTCATGACGCCTGGCTGTGAGCCGATTGTGTGGGCTCTGCAGCACCTGCGTCGCTATGGACTCAATGGGGATTTGTTCTCCTTCGAGGCGGGACGCCGCTGCATGTCTGGCCCGGGCATCTACACGTTCCGCATACACAATGCGGAGCAGCTCTATCCGATGTTCCAGCGCTATATAAATGCCGTGAACACCGACGCCTTTGCCCAAGTGGAGCGGGAACGCGAACTCGTCAACTCCACAAATTCAGTGTCGGTGCTGTTGGGTCGCAGCGATGTTCAGCCGCATAGCAACAATTATCTGGAGCCGGCTCCGATGCTGGCACGTACTGCGCTGCAGGTGCAGCAGCTGCCGAACAATGTGATTGCGTTGACGTCCGATTCACCCGACTCCTTGCCAAATCTGCAGCTCGTCGGCGCCGAGCAGGGCGCTCTGCAGTCTCCAATCACACCCGGCGCCTACATCAATACCAATGGCAACGTTTACTTCGATCAACCAATGCAGCGCATGCTGCAGGAGCAGAATCGCTGCAGTTCACCACTAGAGACCACGCCGACATCCACAAATAGCGCATTCAGCACAATGCGCCGGCAGCAGCATTTGGGTGACATTCCGCCGCAAGATCCCGCTCCGGCGCTCAACGAATCGCTGCGATTGTATGCCAATGTGGAGACATCGCGGGAGCGTCTTCTGTTCGATATGCCGCTTGCCTCTGCTGGCTGCAACGATCGTTGCTATGAGAACGTAAGTCGCTTGGACCTGCCCCCACTGCCACGCGACTGCTCGCAGCATTCAGTGATATCCGCGTCGCAACAGCAGCAGCAGCAGCCGGCGCCGCCGGTAACGCCGACCAGCCCACCTGGTGTCAACTACATAGTGCTCGACTTGGATCAGCCGCGTAGTCCCGCACAGTGCTCGCCCAAGACGATGACAAATGGTTTTGGCAGCGGCCTGTCCCTGACAAATACTATGCCACAAACTCCGGAAGGGAAAAAAGCGTCCGATGCTGCGGCATTAGCACAGAACAGAAACTCGCATGCTGGCGCATCGACAGCAGCCGGTTCTGCATCATCTGCCGAAATTGTGGGCACCCAAGGCTACTCGACGATTGATTTTATACGGACCTACGCTTTGAACAAATCGTCAACAGTGCCTGCCCACGATGCCGAGCCGCCTTCAGGCTGCCAGCACCACCAGGACCATGCACACGAGGATGGCGAACTACGCATCTCGCGGCACAGCAAATGTGTGCGCAAGGCCTACTCCATTAGCGAGTAGAAGAAACGAAGGAGTCTAGGAGCGAGAGTCGAATGTGAGCAGCCAGCACAACGAATTTACCAAGGACGGGCTTTAGTTGCAGCCCATCAAATATATACATAAATATAACTTATTCGTTAGGGTTGGCCTGGGCAATTATTTGCCTCGAGCCTAATCACACACAAAGCCAGACACAAATCGCAATCAGGTTGTTTCAATTTATGTACTTAAATATATTTATATTTAATTGTGCACGTGCATATACATATATTATATATATATTAGGTATTTTTACACACACAGGGCTGTTTAGTGCTAGTCGTTTTTAAAATGTTGTGCAAATTAAGGTTTTGTTTTTTTGTGAAAATGCAACATGAAAGGCTTTTAAATTGTAAAAAATTACTCGTTAGTTGTTAAGCGAACATTTAGTATGTATTTGAATGAACATCATTTTGTTGTTCGTATTTTGCGGAACGAAGGCCCAGTGCTTTTTTATTTAATTTGTTGCCAACTTTAATATAACCGCCCGCTGTAATTCTAATTTTTATATTGCTTTATTGTTATCCAAATTCTTGGAAATTGAAACAAACACAAGTTGTACATGATGTATGCATCAAAAATCCATGTATCTTTATTTATACATACATATGTACAAAGTTGAAACGCAGAATATTGCAATAATATTTGTATTTGTTGTTAGTATTTAAGTCTAAGTTGTGCAATAAAAATGGAAACAACATTTTAGCCTCTAATCACATTGTTAATTGTTAATTATTTAAGCTCGTTGGAATATTCACCCCTTAACTTATATTCTAATTTGTCTCTATATTAAACTTGCAGGGAAAAACTGACTGGCTAATCCATAAGAAATAGGAAGTTAAAGCAAGACGTGCTTTAAAGAAACTTCTATGAAACGATATTGATGAACATTTAAGATGTCTCCGATTTTTTGGAAAAGATGCATTAACGATTTAGTGGGTGATGTATGATACACACGGATTTTAATTAATTAATAAATTTGTTTTATTATGCGCTCGAATCGATCAGTATCTTTCGATCCCTACCTGGCGAAAGACTGTGAAATCAGTTTAAAATATTAGTTACCTTCTCCGAAACCCTATCAGATCTATCGACTAAAAATCCACTCAAGTCTGTCCAGTGTGCACACACCCCGCGATAAATGTACAACAGTGTGTGTTGTGTTTACCGGTTTAAACTCAAATGCGCAGATGATTGGTGAAAATTGAGAACGAGCAAAGTGCCTTGATGAATCGTTTGACTTTAATTGAAGCTCGATAAATTGCCTGAAACAATTAGTTGATGCAGTAATTTACTTTATTATGCACTCGAATCGATCAATACCTTTTGATCCCTACCTGGCGAAAGACTTAAAATATTGGCTAAGTTCTCCGAACCACGATTTGATCTGTCGACTAAAAATCCACTCAAGTTTGTCCAGTGTGCACACACCCCGCGATAAAAATACGATAGTGTGTGTTGTGTTTACCGTTTTAAACTCAAATGCACAGACGATTGGTGAAAATTGAGAACGAGCAAAGTGCCTTGATGAATCTTCAGATTTTACGGACATGCACAATTAAATTTGTGTGCTTGTGTTTGGCCCACCTGAACACACGAATGGACCGCATTTGCTGATAAGAAACAAACTTTATTTAAGTACAGCGGCAGCTTGCATTAAGTCATTGAGAGAGCAGGAAAGAGGCTCTATTTTCCACGCTCACAATATTAATTAACGATCTGCCTCCGAAGCGTGCCTACGTTTATTATCAACGATTGAGAGGCGGACAGCCCGCGTCCAGTGCGACTTGAGCTGTTGATATTGAGCGTCATGGTCGGGCGTGTCAGTGTTTTCTTGGTCTTGACCTTGGCCTTCGTCCACAAATTGAGCTTGGGTCATTGCCAGCTCGGGCCGGAGCTGGTGGCACGTTTGACACCTGAAACCACGCCTGATGTACAGGAAGAAGCCGTACGGCAGCTCATGCAACGTGTGGTCGGTGTCCGAGCGTCCAACTTATTTCACGTGGAAGTGAACAAGCTCCTCGAACCAAGCAGCTATGAGGTGAGTTGAACCAAGAGACAAATTTAAGTTGGACGCTTTGTTGGTAAAAATTTAACAAATTTCGCAGGGCAATAGTTAATGTAAATACTTATTGTGTGGTTTTAATTAATTTTTATTATAAAATATACGTATACTCCTAGTAAATATATAACATTATATCATCAGATTAAAAGTTTGTTATCATTTAATTAAAGTTGTCTAAAATTACAGATCAGCCAAATGGATAATGGAAAAGTGCTGATAGCCGGCTGGGATGGCGTCTCTGTATGCAAGGGCTTTCATTACTATCTAAAATATGTGCTGAATCAGGATTTGGACTGGTCCAAGACACGCATCGAGCTCTCCGACAATTTGGAACTGCCGAATGTGACACTTTGCTCGAAGTCGGCCAGTTCCATTATCTACTACCAAAATGTGTGCACATGGAGCTACAGCTTCGTGTGGTGGAGCTTTGAGGAGTGGCGCGCGCACATCGATTGGATGGCGATGATGGGCATTAATCTTTTGATAGCACCCAACCAGGAAGCCATCTGGCAGAGTGTGTACACAGAGCTGGGCCTCAGCGAGGACGAAATAAACGCACACCTTGCCGGCCCGGCATTCCAGGCCTGGCAGCGCATGGGCAACATTCGTGGCTGGGGTGGTCCACTGCCGCCCGCACACAGGCGGCTCCAGCAGCTGCTGCAACAGCGCATTGTCCGTGCCCAACGCGAGCTGGGCATGAGCGTCGCTCTGCCGGCATTTGGTGGACATGTGCCAACGGCAATGCGAAGAGTCTTTCCCAACGCCAACTATACGCCTGCCGAGCGTTGGAATAACTTTCCCGATCAATATTGTTGTGACCTCTTTGTCGAGCCGCACGATCCGCTTTTTCAGCAGGTGGGCGCCTTGTTTCTGCGGCGTGTCATCCAAGTCTATGGCTCCAATCACATCTACTTTAGCGATCCTTTTAACGAGATGCAGCCACCCCTAGCTGAGCCGGGATATATGGGTTCGACAGCCAAAGCAATTTATAACTCGATGCGAGCGGTGGACGCGAATGCCGTGTGGTTGCTGCAGGGTTGGATGTTTCTGAAGGATATCTTCTGGACAAATGAACTTATAGAGGCCTTCCTGACTGCCGTGCCGCGTGGTCGCATCTTAGTGCTCGACCTGCAGAGCGAACAGTTTCCGCAATACCAGCGCACGCACTCCTACTACGGCCAACCATTTGTGTGGTGCATGCTGAACAATTTCGGTGGCACGCTGGGCCTCTTTGGGTCCGCACAGCTCATCAGAAGTGGAATTGCATCGGCACGCATTATGCCCAATAGCAGCATGGTAGGCGTGGGCATCACACCCGAGGGCATTGGCCAGAACTACGCCATATTCGCTCTCACGCTTGAGCAGGGCTGGAGCGCGTCTAAGCTTCAGCTGAGCGACTGGTTCGATCACTTCGCTCTGACCCGCTATGGTGTTAATGATACACGTTTGGCCCAGGCTTGGCAGCTTTTGCGCGACGGTGTTTACTCCTTCCATGGCCTGCAACGTATGCGAGGCAAATATGCCTTGAACAAAAGGCCAGGACTAAACTTGAATCCGTGGACCTGGTACAATGGGTCCAGTGTTACCGACGCCTGGCACCTGATGCTGGCGTCCAGGGAAATGGTGCCTCTAAAGGATGACAGGTATGCCATCTATGAGCACGACCTTGTGGACATAACGCGCCAGTTCCTGCAACAGAGCTTCGATCAGATATACGTCAACCTAAGGTCAGCGTATCGCAAAGAGCAGCTAAGTCGTCTCGAGTATTTGGCCGGTAAGCTTCTGGAGCTACTCGACGATATGGAGCGTATACTGGCAAGTGGCGCACGTTATTTATTGGGCACTTGGTTAGAGGCCGCCAAGAAATTGGCGCCCAGCGACAAACAGCGTCCCCTCTACGAGTTTAATGCGCGCAATCAGCTCACGTCGTGGGGTCCCAACGGTCAGATTCTCGATTATGCAACGAAACAATGGTCGGGCTTGATGTGCGATTATTACAAGCCACGTTGGGCAATGTTTCTTGACGCTGTGACGCGGGCAATGCAATCCCACAGGCCGTTCAACAGCACCGACTTTAAGCAGCGGGTTGCCGACGAGATCGAGCTGCCGTTCAGCAACCTCACAAAGGTGTACCCCACAAAGCCGATGGGCAACACGTGGCTCATCTCGAATGACATATACGTCAGATGGAACTCATATGCGAAAGAAACACAATTTCTGCACAATTGTCGGTTACCGGTGAGGCTCCTGCTAGGCAACGGAACGGAAGACATAGAGCTGCAATAGTTTAGCATAATGGGACCAAATAAATAAACCCTGTTCTCCTTACATAGTTAGCAGAGACCATAATGATAGACCGAGAAGCAATGTTTGAGAGAACTCTTGATATATATAGAACAATAAAATATAAGCTTCAGTTTTGCATTTTATTTATAAAAATAATTATAATTTTTGAGTTATAAATATAAAAAAATTAATCTTTACTTTTTTTAGTTAAAATAAAAAACAATTTTAGTCACGTTGTTTAATATATTATTTTGGAGCTTTTAACTATGTATAAATGTGAAAAAGAACTAAACAAATAAGATACGTGCTCTATTCAAATTCAATTGCAAAATGCTCTGATCTTGTTTTAGTCAAATATCTGCTTTTAATAATCATTCTCTCCGGTCCCCGCTAAACACACACACATTCGTACATAGAGATATGACCTTTGTGTTTTTAATTGATTTTTATTTAAATTATTGTACAAACTAATTTAAATGTAAAAATTTAAACATCTTCATCAATCAATCATACGCATACAAATTTCTATGGAGTTGGTTTTTTTTTGTTGTTTTTGTTTATATTTTTTTTTGTTTTTATATTTTTGCAAGTGAGTGTGTTTGTTGTGTGTATGTTTTCGTGTTGAAAGTTTATTTAACGCACATTACATACATGTACATAATTATTTGATTGGGTTTATGCAAGTGTATACATAGAATCAATTACTCATTTATCATTTTCTTGATGTGTTGTGGGCGAACTACAATTAACTTTACTTTAATATTACTTGTTCCTTTCGTTTGAATGTGGAAAGGAGTATGGGGCATGTGTTCGCTCGTTTTCATTCACACACAATATTTCTACAATTATACTCATTTAAAAATTTCAAACAAACATTATTATTATTATTATATGTATTTAGTAGTTATGTATGTATAAAGTTTTCATCTTTCGTTTGCTTTTTAATGTAGACGACGATGTTTTACAGCTAAGTTTTGGGGGTAGGGAGTGGTGCGTGGTTTTGTTGTCGGTTTGCTGGCGGCAAGTACGCAAAAATATGTTAATCATATTAAGGTATGCAATTGCGCACATCAACCGCTTAATTTGCTCGTATCATTTAACTTTATTCAACAGAAACCCAACTGTCAGCATGTAGATGCGTATGTGTGTGCGGGTGTGTGTGTGTGTGTGGTGTGTGTTTGTATATATATATAACGTTTATACTCATATGCATTCAATCAAACAAACATTTATACTTTTTCTCCAAACGAGAAAACACTCATACATCATTTTCAATCATCAATCATCATCATTATCATCAGCATTCTCAAGCTTCAACTAACACGCAAGCAGCTACTCGGCATATTCTATTCATCCTGCATATCCTCTGGCAATTCGTGCGGATTTAACATGCCCGGAATATTACGTTGCATTTGACGCTTATTTGACTGCTCCTCAGCCAATGCTGCTTCACGTTCCTCCAGATACAAATCCGAATCATCCTCGCCGGTCGCCTCCTGAAAATCGTATATTAATATAATTGATATAGGATATTTGCAGTGATGTATCTTTTGCCCTTGGCTAATTTACTCACGCGAATTTGTATTAGAAAGTCTCTCAAGTGCTCCTTAAATGCTTGTACATTCTCGTCCAAATTGAAAAGGCCAGTAACAAAGACTTTGATCTGATTATCTGATAAATGATTAAATGCCGACTTTAGCAATGAGGCCACATATTCCTGTATGAATATCATATTGTCCGGTATGGGACCCAAATCAACCGTTATTTTTCTATTTTCCACCAACGAAAACATATAAGCCAATATTATAGCATGGTTAGGCAGGCCCGCTGTATGGGAAGTGTCAGTGACTACTGAGAAGATTTGCATCAGAATATCCGTAAAGTAGGTCTGATAGAAACTCTGCGCCGCATTTGGATGTTGTTCAAGGTTCTGCAGCATCTGTTATATAACAATATTATAATTAACCCGCGAATATCATCAGTGTAAAATCTTTCACTTACCTTGTATAGTATATTCAAGCCCATGTCGGCCACATTGCGCATTGTGTGCTTGAAGGCCCATACCACAGAGTCGAAAACCAATTTAAACTGGGCCGGCGGTATGTTGAGGAACGCCTTGAAGCAGTGCGCATTAACCGCTTGCAGCAGCTCATAGAAACTGAACCGATGCTGCGGAAAATCTTCGAAATTCTTATTGATCATGTCCAGCGTGCATTCAAATACAGCATCAAAGATTTTTGGTACTTCATTCGTGATATGCTGGCGCAGTTTGTTTACAATCGTCGCCATCGCGTTCAGAACTTTTGGTTCGCGCGCGGACGGAACTTTACACCGCTACAAATTTAAAAAATTGGTATTTTAATCAAACAGATTATAAATTCTTAGAAACTGGCCTAAAAAAGGTGCCAACAATCTTAAGTATAAATACAACAAGAATTATGGATGATAAGCAATCTTAAAAATATAAAATAGGTACACATTTAAATAAATTTAGGGAATCTGGTGAAAAGGCATATTAAAAATGTAAATAGATCTTTTTATGTTTGTACATGAATCTAAATTACAAAATATATATCTTTGGGTCTTACAGGGTTTCAAAATGAATCAAATATATTCTGTTCATTCGAGGTTAAGAGTCATAATTTTTCCACCTAGTTAAAGATCTTCTAAATTCCTTATTATGTGAATGCATGAATTGTTTTAAATATCAAGATTTAGCAGTCATTTGACCGAATCAACTATTATCTGATGCCTTACCGGTTTTTGTTTAAAAAGGGTTTATATTAAACTATAATCGTTTCTTATAGCAGCAACATACTAAAGTGATTCAATTTGGTCAATTTGCCATATTAATTTAATACATGTAAACGGATCTAGACCAAGTGTCGTAAGGATATTTTTAAAACTGAGCGAGCGCATTCTATTCAAATCAGTTAAACTCTTTAATAATAAACTGATAAATCCTGAACAGTTTGAAATGAAAAAGAACAACGTACCTGGTAATCCATCAAGATAGCATCCAGTAAGGGCGGTATAAAGTTATCCATAACTAACTGATTGTCATTGGAGCGCGACACCCATTCAGCTATCAAATTGAGCGTCTCCTTCTTCACAACGTGCATTGATTTGATCAGCGGCTGATTGTTCACATTGACGCCATTCACTTCGATGGCCTGTATGATGTTTTCCGATGTGATCTTGTACACATTTAGCATGTCCAGATATATGCGACCCAGTTGAATGACATAGGCGTGGCCCAGTGCCTTGCATGCGGCCACATTTGTCTTCAATATGCTGCCTAGCTGCTTAACTGCTGTCATATTTTTCAGAAAGTCTACATTTTTTGATGCCCGTGATATAATATCGTCCCAGACCTGATTTGGCAGCAGCATATAACGTTCGATAAGCGCATCCTGCTGCACCTGATCTACTTGTGCCGATATCATATAACCAACCGCCTCATAGAATGTATGCACCTTGATTAAAACGTAGAGAGAGACGATTTAGGAATATAGAAAAACCAATAGTTTTTATCACTTACCTGTTGTGGCTGTAGATCACATATAATGCTGCTCATAGTGCTCAGTATCTCGTCAATGAAGGTACATGCCTCATTTGGCTGTATTGTGACAAAATAGCGACGACACTTGATTGCTATCTTGATGAACGTGTCACAAGCCATGTCCTGCACTCCGTCGTGCGTTTCATGCATAAATTCAAATAGTTTGTTCACCACCGTCTTTAGGAATTTCCAGTGAGCGCGCAGAAAACGAGGATACTGTCCGACCACATACATAATATTGGAGGCAATGATCGCCTTATTGTCCTTGCCCTTTTTCTGCTCACAGAGCCCAAGTAGATCCTTAATGACAGTAACCAAAAATCGCTTTTCATCCTCCTCGCAGAAGGCACCTAGAGAATAATAATTATAAATTATAATTTTAGAATATATTTAATTTCAATCCTTTAACTTCTTTTCGCTGTCTGAAGATATATTATATATGTATATCTTAATTGTCAGAACAGAAATGGACATTGTAAAAAAAGAAAATCAAAGAGTGCTTTAATTGGGAGTGTCAGACAAGAAGATATCCTAATCCCAGCGCAGCGGTGGTCTATTTAGCCCTATTCTATGCGAACTGCATTATTGTTTGTTCCTTATATATAAGATTAGAGATAAAACCAGGATCAGAATTTATCTGGATCGATTTCATGGGAACATGGAAAGTTACCTAAACATACTCGTACTGCTGGAGCCATAGGAAAATCTACTTCTAGCTCCAATAGGGTCTAAGATCGACGCGATTATACATCGGGACGGACGGACGGACAGATTTAATCGACCTGACTATTGAATCTGATCAAGAATATATACATATGCAAAAAAACAAAATATAGCCTTTTTGGCACTCAGATGGACAGTTAGAGAAAGGTTATGGGAACGACATAAAACCTATAGTATAAGCAAACACGAAATCTGTGTCAAAATATGCACATAGAAAGTAGAAATATGTGTCATACACTTAAAACTCACCCGATATTGAGCCAATGGCCCAGCAAAGAGTGTTGAGATTTTTCCAGGAGAATTCAGTGCCATTGACTTGGTTTAATAATTTGAGGGTCATGATGCGATCAGTATCCGCACAATCCAAATGAGTGAGGAATACTAAAGTCTCTCTCATATTTTTGTACAAATTAATCGAATTGGTATCCTTCATGAATTCACGAACCACTTCACCATTCTCGTTCTCGACAACTAGAACTTCTTCTGGCTTAGCCATGCGTGAAATCATGATGAAGCGAACCTTGGATAATATGGTGGCGTAGAATCGACGACGGGGATAAACCTGCTGTCGCTTTGAAGACTCGAGCGTGGGATGAAAGAATTCGGTGTTGTACAAATTCTCAACAAGGCTATTCCAGTATTCCAGACAAATCTTAAATACTTCAACGTCGTCGACCTCACTGATCATAACTAAATACATAAGCGCCTGATTCAGATAATCCACATACTTGGCATCCTCGACTAGCTTTCCATGTTCTTTGAGGAACGTACAGAGGAACATGGCCAGATTAAGCACAAGCTCCTGTTCCGTATCGGTGCCGCACTGGAACACATGATTCATATTCATATTCTGGCCAATTATCTGGTCCAACTGCACCATTGTGTCCTTGAATAGCGTCGCAAAGTTATCGTTGTAATTGGCTGCCGTTAGGCCGGCAATTTCGGACAGGCACTTCAGGGTCACATTGCGAAACATTGGAACGCTGAGAAACTTAAAGATCAAAGTCTCTATAAGCGTCGTCTCGAATATGTAGCCCAATGGTATCCAGTTGAGAAAACGCAGCAGCGTCTCCAGCGTGACCTGTATCAGTGCTGCATTCATCGAATTCTCCAGGACAAACGAACAGAGGGTAAAAATCTGCGAAAACTCCGAGCACATCGTATCCTTTAAATGCTTGGCCTTCGTTTGCGTTATCTGCCCCAGCGAGAAATCAAAGACCTCTTCGCTAAGATTCTTCAGAATAACCATATTGTTCATGCACAGGCTTTCGTTTGTTTTGGAAGCGCCCACAATATCGCTAATAAACGTCTCCCAGTTGCGTGGCCATTCTCGCTTCAGTATCTGCACCAGAATCATGTTCAGCTTATTCAAATATACTTTGTTCTGCTCCATGATGACCGGATCTGAGGATGTTTTTATGATTAGGCTGACCACATACTTTTTGATACCCTCGCACTGATTTCGCGGCAGCACCTTCCAGCGTGTCTTGATCACCTCTTCGAGTATTTGAAGCGCATAGAACTTGGTTTGCTGATTCTGTGAATATTCGAGTATGCTGTCGACACGCGTCCAGGCCTCGGGATGCTCCTTCAGTGTGGTAAGTATGTCCTGCGCCAGTCGCAGCTGCTCACCCTGCGATGAATAGAGCGCCTCAACAATCTTATCGAGCAGATTAATGTCCAGCTTTTGGTTGAAGTCGAGCAGCTTGCTCGCCTCATCGGAGCTCAACATCGCCATCGCTTTGTAGTAAAAGCAGCGTTCGCGTCTGCGTCGCTCAGCAGCAGCAGCACCAGCAGAAGCTGTGTCCGCGTTAATTTTGATTGATTTTAGCTTGCTCCTCCGGCTAAAACGAGGGGGGAAGGCGCGTCAGTGATGAAATCTGTGGTAGCTGGCAGCTGCTGGTTGGTTGGTTGGATTGACTCTATAGAAGAATCGAAAATATCGAAATTACATTTATCGGCATAAAGGCAACCATATTTCTTTTATACATACATTTACGTATGTTTTCTTATTTTCTACACACAAACACCAATGCACAATTGCTTGTGGCGCGCGCTTACTTTTTTTTCGCACATACGCACACACACACACAGTAGAGATGAGCGATATTTGCGTACCTGTTACTCATCCCAAGCATCTCATAGTAGGAAGTCACTTGCATTTGTGTTAAGTGACTGGAAGAAAAAACGCGCCTTCAATAAAAATCTTTCACTTAAATATATAAATATATATAACGTGTGATATGTGTAAACGCCTTCCACTATTTCAAATGTGCGTATCTGAAGGTAAATGTCGCCATCTGCTTTCTTGCTGCTCGTCACCGTCGGTCAGGCACCGCTCATCTCTAGCACACACAAATACACACGCACACACATGCCGCTTACACATGCAAAATACAATCAAAGCAGCGCAACGCATCTCGAGACTGCGACGGCATTTCACAAATCTAAATTGTACGCACGGCTTAGGGTTGTTGTACAACACATTTGTTGTTAAATTAAACCGACTTTTATGCACATTTACTTATTTTTAGGTTTCTCACGCACTTACCTAGTTTTAGAAAAGCGTTGCAACCTACGATTCCCAAGAAGCAGCGTGGAAAACGACAAGCGCAAAACGAGTAAAAAGACTACAACGTTTTTGTCCAGACAGGGAAAAAATGTATTTCAATTTGCGAGGCACACAAGTCAATTTTATTCCTTTTGTAGCAAAATACATGCACGCTGAGCGATTATTTGCAATTTGGCTAACAACGGTTGACGTTGTGACCAATTTGTATGTTTGAAACAAACTTTTTCGCAGTACTTTTCTTCTCCTTCTGTAATGAAAACCAGGGATGGATCACAAGCGTCATGCGCGGTGCCGGAATCGAGTAGAGTTTATATAAATGGAAGTAACTAATAGAGAGCAGTAAGGAAATATACAAATCTCATTTATTTACGTTTGCAACTTTTATTAACAAAGAAGTTCGTCCGCATTCAACAAATATCTACCGGCACAATATACAAAACACAGTGTTCCCATATTAAACAAATATTCAGCCCTGACCTAAAATAGGTTTGCTTTTGCAAATATCGTTAATCGTGCCAATGTTGCTTTTTTATTATCGATATTGGAGCTTAGCGTGCATATGCAGAATCAAAATATGCACGCACGAACTTCCAAGCAATTTCGAGAATCCAGGGCTAATAATATGAAATAGACAGATGTGAATTATTTAACCATGTTCACAGATTTGAATAACTATGTTTGAATTACTCAATTTTTTTTCTGTGGTATTTGAAAAAGCAAACTTTGTCCGTGACCAGGCTCAATAAATTCCACACTTGCTCATCTCTAGTTTATTCCGTATTGACCACAGACACCAAACATCAACAACATCCGATATACATAATTGTATTTTTAAGACTCGATGTCGATTTATTTGCATTGTCTAACAACAAATGGCGGCTTACCCATATTTACCCGTAAAAAGGGCGAATGCGATAATGTAAGCACTTAAGGATAATATACACACAATAGTTAGAACTAATTTTTGATATTTTGATATCTGTCGGGGTTTTCGATTTAGCTGCCCTTTTCGACTGTAGCTTCTCTGAATGGATTTCACATGTTCTTCAAATCACTCGGCATACAACTGCAAACCACACATACAGAAGAATGGACTTATATTTGGCGTGACTTTCACAATGCAATCACTTTCATTGTGTGTGGCCGTGGTATGGGCGAACTTCAACTTCAGGCCCTAGCGGAACTTGCTTTCGGAGGAATAGCGCTTTTTATCAGTCGCGATGAGTTAGGCCATCCCGCTCTCCTGGAACGCCTAAAGAAGGATGCCAAAAAGTATGTGCCAGTTGTGGATGCTGCTCTGGAAGCGTCTAGCTCTGGTACAACTCTTTTGGGCTATACGGACTGTCTACTGGCAACAGAAAATTCGCATCTATTCAACCGTTTAAATGAGTTCAGTGCCAATTGTGGGTCATTGTTCTGCTGCCTTGTTGTGGGCCAGCGTATTGCTGTAGCCACTGAAGGTTGGTGGGATTTGGAAACACTGGACAGGGAGCTTTTGCTCTTTCTGCTCAACTCTTCCAGTACTCTGCAGCTCGACGTTCCCGTGTACCTGCCAAGCAAAAGTCCAAATATTGCCTTTCGTTTCGTCACCGTGCCCGTGTCGGCTAACAGTGCGATCTGCGTGCTTTGTGGCGCTGAATCTGCGTACCGAGAGCTGCATCTAAATGCCATGAATGCATTTCGCAATGAGAACAATCTGTTAGCCAACGTCGAGCGCTGCGTTCCACGTAGTCTGCCGGAGCAGCTGGAAATTGATGCACATGTCTTGGCAATTATTCTGATTAATACTGAAACGCGCAAAAGTGTCTTTACCCGCAATCTCCACCAATCGTCGAATGCTAAGCGCATTGTCGTCGGCGACTTGCAGCGTTTGGACATGCTGAAGAAATTCTTTGATCACACCTTGGAGAATATGCATGAATTGAAAGTGGCTAAAGACGATTGCAACGATGCAGTAACAAGAAATTCCTCGATTATGTTGGATCAATACAGTTGCTCTGACTATCACAAGTGTTATGCGCAGGCGGATGACCAAAATAATGTTATTTTCCTGCTTTTCGTTGCCGCGGTGCCAACACATGCGATGAGGTAAGTGCATGTTCTTTCGACTGTACAAAAGTATCATAGCTTCACTTGTTATTTGTCAGATTTCTTGCGAAACAAGTCTACGCTAGCCTATTGCAAGATAAGGCCGTCTGTTGGTGACCTTCTTGGTGAGCTTATTATCACCGAGCTTATAAGACTGATGATTGGAATCCCTAAAATGGGCCTAGAATATTTTATATATATTTTATAAGAGTAGTTTTCTACATCGTTTGTATTTATATTTAGGTAAGAAAGGTCTATTCAGATATTCTGTTCAAGGACACATGAAGGATACTTTTAATCTGGGTACAGGGTATTTTCTAGTGCTTAATCTCGGCTAGAGATTGCATTTATTTGGTGATGGAATAAATATATCTCTTAAGAAGGTAAAATATGACTATTTTGCTTAAAATAAATTGATTGATAAATTGCTTCTAACTATTTAAAATCTTTTCGAGACTTGGTTTATATACATACATACATACTAGGTTTGGCCTATTTTGGATACCTCCTCCGAAATGGAGAAGCCTTTTTAAAACTAGAGCCTTGTGATTTGGTATGTACTCATATTTAAAAAAAAACTTGACTAGCGTTCTTACATGCCTTTTTCTCGGTCGAGGATCTAAGCTTTTTGAGTTATAATCAAATCATATATAAGCGACCTACTTAAAGGACTGGAAAGTTTCTAATTTGCGATTCGGAACGCACCAGACCAAATATCGACAATCTCAGTGCATGCTCTTAAGGACTTATTTGTTTATATATTATGGATTAACATATTCCAAAAATTGGCCCTAGTAGGCATACAATAATAGTATATTTTAGATTTGTAAGCAACTGGCGAACTGTTATTCAAAGCTATAAAAATAATTAAAAATTTTTGATTCAAATAGTTATGTCAATTTCAATGCTAATTCGAACATTTCCATCAGAGTCACGTCTCTGGGCAATGCTCTTAGCTTAGCCCAAATACGTAGTTCCTTCGTAAACAGAGCAATTGCTTACAACTAATCCAACTCTCCGCCATGCAGAGAAGAGTCCCAGTCCAACTGGTATGCAGACGGGAGCCGTCGCGCAGTCTATAGATTCAGAATCATTTCCATATATGTAGTACAAACCCAAGCAGTCATCTATTGATTACAGTACGTTCCATTTAAACTGAAGCTAACCAGTCGAAAACACATTAAGTGCGCCATTAATATGTTCAATGCGTTCGGGTTATAAAACTAACAAATTATAACGCCAAATTAAATTTCAATATTATTTTTAACAAGCAGTGCGCATTCAGCGCGCGGCGAGTGCTGTTCGCTGTCGGAACATTAAAAATTTTACTGAAATTTAAAAAGTCGGTGTACATTTTGGAAAGTCAAACAAATTCAAGGCCAAGGATCTACATATCAATTGTATACACACGCTATAAAATGCTGTTTCTACGGAGTCACGAGGAGCACACAGCCGAGGAGCTGTTCAAAATACAACAACTACGTCAGCTGGTGGAGAGTAAGAAAGGATTATTCTGTTCCGGCTCTGTTTTTTTACGGGTATTTCCAATTTCCCATACCATTTATAGAGTCCGATGAGCTGCAGGTGGGAACGGATGAGATATTTTTGACGAAATTCCTTCACTACACAAACTGGGACACAATAAGGGCCTATCAAGCCATACATGCCTACTACGATTTTAAGCAAAAGCATCCCACCTGGGTGGCCCTGCATCCCATACAGTATTATGCCAAGCTTTTCTATGCTACGCACTGTCGCTTCGTGATGCCGCAAACGGATAAGAATGGCCGCGTCCTGGTGATCTTTAAGACGGTGGATGCGTTTCAACAATTTCCCGACTACCTGCAGCATTTAATCGAAATGGATGATCTCATCTTCGAGTCGATGTTAATGTTGCCGCGCGTACAGCGGAACGGCATAACCGTCATTTGCGATCTTCAGGGGTTCGTAGTGGGTTAGGATATATTACTTGCTTGATGTTTGACCGAACTTTTTCTCTAGCACAACCCGGAATTTTCTGCGTCAGTTCTCTCCCATGTTTATGAAGATCGTTAACGAAAAGAATACGGTTCTGCCTTTCAAACAGCGGATGGTGCATATTATTCAACGCGGATTTCTCATGCACGTTACCTCGTCATTGTTTCTGCCGTTTATGAACAAAGATTTCAAAGAGCGCGTAAGTAATATCATATCATCATTTTTCCACACGTATCCTTTTATTGATTGCAGATTTTCACTCATGATGGTCGGCATTTGAGTAAACTACGCGACATGGTTGGGATTGATTGTTTGCCTGCGGAATATGGCGGCCCGGCGACTAATGTACTAGATACAAATTTGATTTTCAATCACTTAAGTCAAAATGCGGATTACTTGGAACAATTACAGCGATATAAAAAGCGTTAAGTATGATTCATAAGAAGAGATTTTAAAATTCCTAGAAGTTTGAAAAGTTCCAAAAATAAACCATTCATAAAAGATATAAAAAATGTAAATAAACAGACGGCGCAACACTCAGGTCTATTTGGATTTATCTAATTGTGGACGGGAGAAGGCGTGGCCCACACTCAATTTTATTTTTTAACCAAACAAAGATGAGATTCTAGCTCTAACAGATTGAGTAAATTAACAAACCAGTATGTGTATATATTGGCAGACTGCTTGCACGTCCGTGGTCGTAGATACCAGTATACAAAAAGGAAAGGTCTTATTTTCCTATATATGTATATCCCCAAGCGTGGAGCGCATTTAAACATAAAAAAAAAATTGGGGTCTTACATTAAATATCCACAGGGTGTCTCTTTTGAAATTATCGTTAAGCAGCTAAACTGTTAACAGGAACTGTTCTGTAACCTCGATTCATTTAACATCGATAGTCGAAAGTGCAAGCTTGGCGCCAAGACAATGCTTCGGCCTATCGATAGTCATATCTTATTTCGATAGCTTTCGCTGTGTTGTGAAATTACGCCGGTATCCTAAACAACTTTTATGAATACCATCTAAATGGCATCTAATAAGGTACAATGGCAAAGTTTTTCATCTTTTTCCATAAATAAGGTCTTGGAAATATTTTGTAGGAGTGTCTAATTATTGTATTAGACGTGCGAAGCTGCGCCTCCGAGGAGTTAAAATTAAAGTCGGTGAAGTGCGTTGCAGAAATACTAAAAGATAAGGTAGATTACATTAACGTACCTGAGACATTATAGTCTTCACCAGTTTGTTAATTTTCAGATTGTCAGCGACAAGAAAGACTATGTGTCGTTTGTTTTAGTGGGTTGTAAAAACAGCAAAAATGAGTTGAATAAGTCTAGTAATATGTGCCAGAATGTGGTTCAATATAATGAGGATCCACAGCTTTGTAACTGGCAGCTATTGCTCGAATTCTTTAAGTTTGTCAACGAGCCGCCCTGCGATGGGGGCGAGTGGCTGGACGGTCTGAATGTAGCCGTGGCTATGCAAAAGGCGGCCAGCATGTAAGTTTCTGACAGTCTCATTAAATATTTTCGCTTACTTTTTAATCTGTTGTAGCTTAAAGTGCGCTAGGCAGCGTATTTTGCTCCTTTATGATTTCAACTACATGCCACAGAGGTACGATGAGTACGACCGGATCAATAGCGAGTTGCTCAAGGAAGGAATCGAGTTGATTGTGGGGTGAGCTTCAAAAGGCAGAAGGGTTCGCTCCTACTTTTTACTAATCTTATTTTTCACTGTCCCCGCCTCGCAGCTCGAACAATATCTCCTATATTGACAATGCTAAGAGCAACCTGCCGCAGGCCATCTTTCAGGTCTCGCGCAAGGCTAACATCTATGAGCAGGCGAACCAAAAATATGCGATGCAGTTGGTCAGCAACTGCAATGCTACCTTATGCAACTTTAAGGAGGCGCTGGCCTCTGTGTTTAACGTGTCGACTAGACGCCCTTGGGTGTGGAATGCCAAGCTTCACATTGGCAGTGTGATCGCGATCAACTTGCAGGGCATCATTGCAATGAAGAACGAGAGTCACATTAAGCTAAAGAAGGTCTGGGCCGAGAAGGAGGAGACGGTAGAGCGTGAGGAACGCTATTTTATTAAAGGTACAGAGGTCACGCCGTTGCCCGAAGATCTAATCGATGGCTATATGCTTGGCGGCACCCCGGTGCCTTATGATGAAACGCTCGTTGAGCTGCCGCCAGCACATTCGCCGGGCTTGCACTTTGTGGGCTTTGTGAAGCGCAGCAGTATACCAGACGCGTATTTTTCGGGTAACTCTCTTTATATGTTGGTACATCAGAAGGGAAACGTTATATCCGCTCAAAAATTGGACGCTTTGGTTAGGGCATTAATATTGCAGAAGTGCGCTATACTCTGCTGGAAAATTTTTAGTGCTAAATTTAATACTCCGCGCATTGTGGTACTAGTGCCGCAAGAGTCCACAGTGGATCGCCCGGCCACGTTATACATGCTGGAGTTGTCTTATCATGCCCAACACCAATTCTGGGATTTTCCTGCCCTTCGCACGGCGAAGACCGAGTGCAACGCGGATCAACTGCAGGCAGTCGATATGCTAATCGATAGCATGGATCTGGAATGCACTCTGCAGGACACACAGCAGCCTAGACAGCAGCGGCAGAACGATTTGCTGCCATTCGATGGACTGCCCAGCATCTTCGAACAGAATGTAATGGATGTGTTGGAACGCAAGGTTATCAACTCAGCAAAGAGCGATCCACAGTTTAAGGAAATGCTTGACGACAAGAACTTCGTCGATATATTTTGGCGGGTACCTGAACCCATCGAACAAAAATCCAAACAGGCAGCGAAGGCGCTCAAAAAATTATTTCCTTTGGAGCACAGTCATGCATGGCTACAGAAGCTCAAAGCCAAGGAAGAAGAACAGAACGCGCCGCCAACCGTCAAGCAAGAACGAGAAGATCCACAAACGTCCATCAGTATTGACAGTGTGGGCTTAATGACGCCCGCCGAGGACTACAAACAGCTGTTGCAAAAGGTGCGCTCAGAATTAAATACTACTCAACGGGATGTCCAATTTCAAACGCTAGCGGCTCAAATGCGAGTGGTTATTATCACGCTTCTTGAGCGCAACAAATTAGACCTCAATCAATTGCACGAAGTGCTAACTCTGTATCGGGACAGTTGTCTTGAGTTCAACAGCTTTGCGGAGTACAATCAATTTGCAGCACTGATAAAAACCAAAGCATCCAAAAGGAATCTAAAAGAGTTTTGGGACAGTATTGTGGTGGAGAAAAATCTTGGCCCGTTGGTACTGTGCGAGCCAACTCTGGAAGACGAGCTGCGCTTGAAAGCGTATTATACGAAACCAGAATTTGAGGACGAGGGTGAGGATATTTAGCAGCATATATAAAGAATTCCATCTTTTTTAGATTTATAAATAATTTATCGCTTTATTTTAATAAAAATAAAGAGTTCCCGTCTCTGGCTTAATCAGCGCAAAGATGCCAATTGCTTCGTTAATAAATACTTCAATTATTTGTAATTTTTTGTTTTTAATGAATTTCATAATACATTTACAGCGCCCACAGGACAATGAATTAAACAGTCAATTGAATCATTTCATTTGATTAAGTAGTTTTCGCTGGTGCATTACATATTAATTGCAAATATAAATTATGTAGCCAAAAAAGAGAGGAAAACTAAGCTTAGCAATGAAAAGCTTTAAGGAACGAACAATTTTAAATGTTTGCCAATCTTAATTAAAGTACACTTAAGAATTTACAAATGGGGCATAAGCAATGCCAATTATCTACATTGCCTGTAGGTGTTTCTCTGTGAATTACTAACATTAAATACATTATAATTTTTTAACACAATCTGCGTAACGATTGCAAGCGGCAAGTGCATACAAAAAATAAATGTTTAAGTTGTTTTGCAGTGCAGCCAAGAAATCTTTCAACGAGACATCCATTAGTCAATGTTCAGTGATGACATAAGTTCCTCCACACTGTCAGGAATAGAGTAAAAAGTTAAGTCACATCAATTATGAATATTGCAACATAAAAATTGTGTTTTATACTTGCACGCACGTTATATCTAGGTCCTGAAAGGCAACCCCCAACCAAGCAACAACTAGGCAATAGTGCTGGAAAAGTTGCAGCAGTAATTCGCCCTCGTCCAACATCTCAAGACGCTCGATACGTTGGCGCTCCGATGAGGAAATGCTGTCGTACACCTGCACCATGTCCCAGGCACGTGCCCCGCTCCAGCCGCAGTCCTTAAAGCGATTGGTTTGAGTCTCAAGCGACAGACAAGATTCCACGCCGGCTAAACTGCAGCCCCGGCTTCGTAGATTATTAAGCATAACATCGCCAAAGCGATCGTTCATGTTGACCTATGAAACACAATCGAATTGTTTAGTGTATTCATAATTATGATCGTGATGATCCTTACCTGTTCATAGTTGACAAAGACGGCGGCTTGAAACTTCTGTGCTATCCATTTGAGCAAGTTTCGGCAGTTCTGGGCCTCGATATAAACGAGAACGCATTCCGCTAAAAATATGGTGGGCAGAGTGAAGTCTACTTCGGCTTGCTGCAACTTATTGTCCACCTCATCCAGATTTCGTAGGTCAACGCCCATCAGATGATAGTTGGGCCCATGCAGGTCCGTCGGACTGAGCCGCACCTCTCCATCTTCGTCGTTTATTTTGCCCAGGAGCGCCTTGTTGCGTTTGATTGTATAGCATTTGCGTGCCGTCACTGTGGGGAAATCTAGCTCAATGAAGTTCTTCACCTTGTGTACGCTGTCCCGCAACCGAAAGTAGAGCGTATCAAAGCCGCAGCCAAGGTTTATGATTTGGCAGTTTCCAGAGGTTTTCTGCAATGGTCATGGCCAGTTAGTTAACAAAGTAAAGTGCAAGGTCACAATTGAGGCGTGACGCGCAAGTGCAACACATGCGCAGCAGCAGCATCAGCATCATTCGGCATGCAACAGGATTCCGATTCCAATTACAATTTCAATGCCACAGTACCGACAGGCACTTGACCTTAACCTGCGTATCGGCCAGACAATTGCATGCAGGCAGAAATGAGCCTAACATATTGCAACTAGATATGCTTATAGGAACAACTCAAAAGAATTATCCGTAAGAAATTATATTAAAAATAGGCGAAGGTTTTACTTATGTAACAAACTATGCTTTTCAAATTACCGGCTAGGCAATAAATTAATCGACGAAACGGTGTTTGATTAAAATTCTAACGATAATTAACAAATGATCGAGCTGCAAGGACATATTGCGGTTATATATAAGTATTAAATAAAGCTAAAATTAATTCAAAGGTGTATAAAAATACTTCAAAACGAGAAAACTCAACTTGTATATAATATTGCAAAAGAAGCCTTTCAATTAAAGTTTTTTAGTTTAGTTATATCTGGTAGTTTTGTCACGTGCGTATCTCCGAAACGAAAGATTTGAAGACCGTTGAGACCGTGATGCGCATGACACATTATTTACAGTTGTTGCTTGCTGCAACTAACCTTCAGAAACTTCTCCACACACATCTCAACGCCCTTGACGCGTGCAAAGTAGCCACGATTTATCTCAGGGGCTTTTCTCTCCTGATTGCGCACAAAGAACCCAATATAATCGTCCTTCCAGTAGCCAAGGCGCACAGCACCCCGCTTGCAGTCACTGGCATCGTCATTGGTGGCTATGACCGCTTCGTCGCAGGGATGAAACTTGTGTGTGCTATTATTATGTGCAACTCCTCCGCCCGTTGACGGAGGCTCCATGGCGAGGCTGATTGGCTGCTCTTGTCCTGCAATCTCTTGTTGCACGCTTTCTATGAGAAAAACAAACAATCGCTCACTTTGGATCGCTCTGGTTCGACAACTTTATAGCACTACTGAATTGTTATTCTTTTTTTGGTTGTTTTTCTTTTTGCAACTGATTTTTCCAAGCAAGTAGTGTGAATACAAATGAGTATGAAAAACAGCCCGTAAACAGCTGAGAGTATCGATTACATCCGCAAGTGTTGGTAAATTTTTAATAAGTGCTGCTTGTGCTATCGACTTGAAATATATCGATAGACAGAAGCACCGCCAAACCAGTGGACACTTTTCCCATTTTTAAAAGTTTTCAAAATTTCTTGTTGTCTTAAGCGCTCACCCACATAATATTTAATGCTGTTAGGCATTTAAGCAATTTATTAATAAGCAACGAGCACAGAATAAGCTTGTAAATTTGTAACGCGTGCCACATTGAGCCTAAGTTAACTCCATCATCTAAGTGCCCTAATTGTTTCCCGCATCTTTGACATCGGAAGCGACGGCAGCTATAATTAAAATTGTCAGCTACGCCCAAGCCACACTGAGTCTTCAACTCAATATGAAGGGGTCAAAAAGTGAACAGGCTTTAATTGTTATTTCGCTTTGCGTTTGCAATTACGGTGAATGAATCACAACCCCCACCACCACCCCCACTCTTCAAACAAGCCACACTCACACACATACTATAAACGAAAACGAATTACTTTCTTGATAATGGTAGAATAGGAAATTATGCAAAGCGCGACTTATTGTCATACAGTGCACTAGCTGTAGCAAACTGAGTCATTTACTGACCACCGACGTTTTAATGTCCAACATTTTTAAGCTTAAGTTCGGAGATCTTTATAGGGCAGCCGTTATTAATTGAAGACTTTTTGAACTCCGTCAGAGTGGGGTGATAGGTTGGGTTGATATGCTTTAACATCAAGTCAAGGGCGTCAAATGTGTTATTGTTTTTGAAAATTTAAAATACGTTTTTCAAAGTTTGGGGCGAGCATATTTTGAAAGCCTGATTCAACATATTTCTAGAATAGAAAATTAGATAGAATAGAAAATATGTGCAACAAATCAATATGCAACTGGTACTCTTATTAGAAATTTTGCTCAATTAATATAAAATTGCTAGAATTAATAAATTTATACTCGAATGCTTAATTCGTCACTGGAAAGCTTCCGGTATGATTTAATATTTGATAACTAACCAAAAACATATTATTAAATATAAAATTGTCAATATGCGTTCGGTCTTATATGAATCCCTGTTAAATCAATCGACTACCTTGGACAGATCTTTGTGGCTCTCTTTTCTCTCCGCGTTACCGTTTCTCTCTCTGTCTCTCCCGTTCTCTATCTGCTTCTTGCACCCACACTCGCTCATTGAGTGGCAGGTTAGTGGAGAATGCTAGAGTCACTTGCCGCGTCAGTTTGATTGTAACGTTCGTGAGCGTCGGTTGTGCGAGCTAAAAGCTGCGCGCGTCTCGAACAAAATTTACTCAGCTCTCTGAGTTAAAGCAACTGTTGGTAACAAGTAAGCCTCTTTACATGTGTGTGTGTGCTGTGCATGTTAGTGTGTGTTAACAAAGCCAAAAACCACCTTCAGTGTGCTGCGTGTGCGTGTAACTGCATTGGTATTGTGCGTGTGCATGTATTAGTGTACCCCTAGTTACTGCTGCTCCGGGCCCGACTCGCATTTTGACGTTTGACTGGCTCTGGTTCTCTACCTGAGCCCTGGCTTAAAACCAAAAACGGTCATTTCATTACGTTTACGTTATTCTTCACCGTTTTCGTAAACCGTGTTTGTTTTATTTCGGGGCGTTGGCGCGTACACAAAGAAAGTTAATAATTTTGTGGCTCTTAGTCGAAAATTAATCATTAACAAACGCATAACTCAAATTGAGTGCAAATGTTGTTGGGCCACATAGAAGGGCTAAGATTAGATAGTGCGCAAAGGCCAAAATAAAAAAAAAACAACAACTAGTGCGGCAGCGACGTCATCATTTGGAGCATAACTGTAAAATAAGTGAGATTAAGAAGAAGCAGCAACAACAATATTACTGCCGCCGCGCAGTGGGCCAACAACACTAACACATACACGTACATAGACACAACACACACACACGCGAAACACTCACACATAACAACGGCACCTGCAAACGCTTCACTTTCAACATTATCGTTGCGTTTTATTTTTTTGTTTGCTTTGTGATTGCGAAAATAAAAACTAACCAATGGCCCGGGCAGTAAATGTGATTCACTAAAACAAAAAACACACAAAAACGTGTAATTTGATATAAAAATTCCCGCAAGCATTTTTTTTTTGTGTTTTTGGCATTCCCGTTGGCAAATAATTTGCAAAATTTACAGCACTCCACATTTTGTGCAGGCGTTGCATTTCCGCACTTTTAAGAATAAGCAGTACCTAAAAACAAAATACTAGAAGAAGAAGAAGACCCAACACGCCGAGGTTAACGCCGTAACCTGAGTCGACAGCGCGGCGGCAGGTTAATGCACTTTTCATTTAACATGCAGCAACAACAACTTGTGCCTGAGTGCTTGTGAGTCCTTGTGCCAGTTTTCGTGACGTTGATGTCGCTGGCCGCGTTTGAAGCTTTGGAATAAAATTTCCAAAGTGGAGCTCATATTTGTTTGTTGTTGCTACTGTTCGATAGGGGGAGCTGCAATTGTTACACATGTGCGCTATCTGGGTGAAAAAAAACTTTTAGATTAAACTCTTAAAGATGTAGCCATAATAGAAGGCTTTTGTCTGAAGAAATTTTCTTTTGATTATAAGTTGATTGTTTACCTTTCTCGAAATGTAGGCTTTCAATTATTATTAGAAAAGTAGGGTTTTTCTTGTTGCCTCAGCAAACATACCCATGATCCTTACAATCCATAAATGTTGTACAAATCGTGAAATCAATGACGTACCTTTGGCCTGGTCTTTTTTCCTAAATCTTCCTTGATTTTCGTTAGTTGCTTCTTTTTTTTATTGGATCTGCATATATCTACCTAAAGGTACAAAGATACATGCAAAACATATTCTTGTGTACATATATTAGAAATGAATTTACTGAGTAATTTATTCCGTGCTCTAAGATCTGTCGAAATAATGTTTTTAAAATATTAGCAAACTAAAACACATCACATTACATTACGGAAAATAGATGACGGTTCCATATCCATCTACTAAAACTTAAGTTAGTCCAAAGCTTTTTCCAGTTTCTGAGTGCAATTTATTCATATAAGTTCTGAAAGAATTTGATTTTAAACTTTTGTTTATTGTATACAGTTTTTATGTGATGAATATTACATTAAAGTATGTGTTAAATTTGATTCATATTAGTCGGAAGTGCACTAAAAGGCGATGAAAAAGTAAAACATATCCTTTCATACGAACATAAATATTCAAAATTTGCTGATTTTAGCTCTCTTATAAACGCAGGGAAATATGAAAAAAAATCTAGTTCTAAATTAAACTTAACATAGACATTTGAAAATGAGTTTGAAGTCTATCAAATTAATAAATATGAACATTGCAGGCGAAGAAATTTCATCCATTCAACATTTGATATTATTTTTGCGAAATCCATAAAACGCGTTTCAAATAAACGTCCACAAAAAACTTAAAAAATGAGTTAGTAGTCTTTCATTTAAGCGCCATGTGGAACTTTCAAAACAATATTTCAAACGAATATTGCAAAAAGTATGAAAGACCTCCCTAAAAAAAAATTAGCTGTAGACCGATCTATGGTATGCAACAAAAGCTGAACGCAACCTTTTTTCACAGTTTTCCCACACTTGTGCCCGACTTAGCACGCACCTTTATCACATAAGGTAACTTCAGTAAAAAATTCAGGTTTCTAGCTTTTATAGATAAGCATTTGTATATGTAGAAATTTATTTGAGTCAATTATTTATCAAGCTAAATTTGATTGTTCAGTTATTTTTGCATATTTTTGTTTCAAGTGTGAACATATGGAATACAACCTTGTTGCTGCTGCTCTAGACCCTGTAATTAAACAATTTTATCACTTTTCACAATTAGCTAATTAGCCGCGATGACAGGCATCTACAAGAAATGGAGATAATCGCAATTCCATTGAAGCAACTCCTAACATTTTAAATTACATACAAAGTCGCAAAGCGCATTTTATGCTGTAACTTATTTTTAGCGTATCTTTTTCATTAATATGTGGCAGTATAAACAGGTTTTATGTGTCTCTTGCTTCTAACGCATGCCTAACACTTAGCCATAGCACATACAAATGCTACAACGTATTTGTACGTATATATATGTAACACAGCTAACGTAATTTAAAAACCAGTTCGGTCACTCTTACTCAGCTCTGAGATTGGTTGATCCAAACAAAAGAAAACTGTGATGATTAAATTATTGTCGGAAATATGCTTCAGAGTCCTTATTTTTTCAAACAATCAATTAAAAATGTTTATTTTTTAACTTAACTATCTTCATCTCTAATCTATATCTACATCTACATCTACATCTACATCTACATCTACATCTACATCTACATCTACATCTACATCTACATCTACATCTACATCTACATCTACATCTACATCTACATCTACATCTACATCTACATCTACATCTACATCTACATCTACATCTACATCTACATCTACATCTACATCTACATCTACATCTACATCTACATCTACATCTACATCTACATCTACATCTACATCTACATCTACATCTACATCTACATCTACATCTACATCTACATCTACATCTACATCTACATCTACATCTACATCTACATCTACGTCTACATCTACATCTACATCTACATCTACATCTACATCTACATCTACATCAACATCTACATCTATATCTACATCTAATGAACACAAGGATCTCAGAACCTACAAAATCTAGAGATATATTTTGAACGTACGTCGTCCTAGTACGAGTTTCTTTCCAATAATCGATAACTTGCCCCGTTTCTAAGCAATCGATAATAATCGATATCGAAACTCGTTTTTTTTTTTGGAAAATCTCTTAGATTTCAAGAGCTAGAGTCATTACTTGACAACTTGACATGCATAACGATCATCACCGATTATATTATTTTTTTAAATTATAATTTTTCGTTTTTGTACAAGAGAATAAATTGTTTTTAT